GAAATTTAAAACTTCTAACCTTAAACTTAAAATAGTGATACTTAAAAACCTGATTTATGTATTGTTCTCTTACTTAATTCTTTATTAGATCACTTTAATTTTGAATTTAACTTTAAGATAATATTTATACATAATTAATTATATATATCAGCCCACATGACAAGTTAAATAATTTCTCAACTGATAAAGCTTGAAGCTTGAAGAAAGAACTCAGAAAAAAAGCTTCGATATTTTCAGGAAAGTGCAGAGGAAGTTGCTTATAGAAACCAATTATTGACGCAGCTGAGAGATAAATGTATAATCTTTTATTCTGAACCCACCTGCCAATGTATATGAAAGCAAATGGCAGATAAGAATTGGAATAATTTAAAGATGTGCGCTCATTCGTTGAGTTGAAAACAAAAAAATTGTGAAAAGTTACGGGCCCACCAGCATGATCGAGGAATAAAGTAACAGTTGCTTCGAAATTACTGGAAAGGTGAAGTGGGAACTGGAACTTATTCAAAAGAATTAATGCCACGATCAGAATTATTTTCACGGGGCTCACCAGAATACTCACATGAGGTGTGCTCCATCATGTATTAAAAAAATAATAATAATGCGCTGGACCCATATGTGTGAGTGTTCTGTGAGTTTTCAAAATGATTTCTTTACGTGAAGCAATCCTTTATTCAACATGTTATTACATAAAAGAAATGACTCGCTCCTAATTATCATGAGTTGAGATCTATTGTTCAAAATTTATTATCTAACTTACCGTCCACCCAATGTATAATTGACACATCATTTTTAATTAATATAATCAACTTTTTTCTCGCAATCAATTGTGTTTAAAATTAAACGACATTTTAAAATGATGTGTCCATCATTTATCGGTGGACAACAAATTTTGAACAGCAAATCTCCACTCACTAATCATATACATCCACCTATGTCCCAACACATGTTGGCTCCCCACTTGCCACCTCGACTAGGGTGAGCGACAGTTTGAANTTCTTGTTGTCATATATATCCTTCACCTTTGCCCTGATGCCCTCAATCTTTTTCCCCACACTTCGAAGCTTTGCTGGATAATCGAATATATGAAAAGCCCTCTCGATGCTAGTCCTTGACTTGTGCACAGCTGCCTGAGCAACAAATGTGTCCACAGTATCTTCAGCTTCATAAACTACATCTCTGATTTGTTTCACCAATTCTTGAAGGGTGGCATTCTTGTTCCGCTTCTCGGTCGAGTCCTTGAGGAAAGCTTTGAACAAACTCAAATCATTGTACAGCAATTCCACCTGACCCTTCACGTCAAGAATCAGATTTGCATTGTAAAGAAGCAGCTGTTTCAAGTTTTCTAGCAGAAATTCTACAGCAGCATCAGACATTTTCTCGTCGATTAATTCTCGATTAAAAGGAAAATATAACTATATATTGTAGCTATACATGGTGTCAACTGTCAAGTAAAGATGATAAAGCTTGAAACTTGAAGAAAGAACTCAGAAAAAGCTTCGATATTTTCAGGAAAGTGCAGAGGAAGTTGCTAAGTTGCTTACAGAAACCAATTATTGATGCAGCTGAGACTGAGAGACCAAGTCAATGTATAATCTTTTATTCTGAACCCACATGAAAGCAAATGACAGGTAAGAATTGGAATAATTTAAAGATGTGCGTTCACTCGTTGAGTTGGAAAAAAAAAACTAAAAAAAAAAAATTGTGAAAAGTTACGGGCCCACCAGCATAAACGAAAAATGGATCATGCTACAAGTACATAATCATTTACATAATACATTACATAATTGGCACGTGGCGCGTATCCATCGGTAGTCTACAATTTTTGATTTTTTCACACTTTACATCCACGGCCAGATTTCTTCCACGTGGGCCTATGTAATCCATTATATACAATAATGTACATATAGATTTATCCACGAGGAATAAAGTAACATTTGCTTCGAAATTACTGGGAAGGTGAAGTGGGAACGAGAACTTAATCAAAAGAATTAGGGCAATATGAGACACGCACAGGGGGACGGGGTGTGTTCACTGCCAAGCCACTAATAGAGAGGGGAGGGGTGTATTTTTTTTCCTTTTTTTTTTTAAACTTGTGGGGCCCGCTAGTGTGAGTAACTTGGCACCCTAACACAAAGAATTAATGTCCACGTACAGCAGTGTTTTCACAGGGGCTCACAGAATACTCACATAGGGTTAGCTCCACCATGTATTAAAAAAAAATTATGCGCAGGACCCACATTTGTAAGTGTTATGCGAAAATGATTTCTGTACAAGAAGCAATGCTCCATTCAAAATGTTATTACATAAAAAAAAATTGACTCGCTCCTAATTATCATAGATTGAGATCTGTTGTTCAAAATTTATTATCTAATTTAATGTCCACCCAATAAATTATTGAGACATCATTTTAAATTAATATAATCAACTTTTTTTTTCTCACAATCAATTGTGTTTAAAATTAAATGACATTTTAAAATGATGTGTCAATCATTTATCGGTGGACAACAAAGTTTGAACAGAAAATCTCAACTTACTAATCATATCCATCGACCTCAGCCGCAACACATGTTGCTCCCCCACTTGCCACCCTGACTAGGAGTGAGCGACGGTGTGAATAATTCATCATTTTATATTTATATTATTTCTAAAAAGTCACACTTGTGTTGGT